AATAAAGATTCTTAACATTTAAGCATTTGTGTGTTTCTTGCTTTCTTTTGTCATCCCAGTTTAAAATAAAGATTTACACTGTTTATAATAAAGATTCTTAACATTTAAGCATTTGTGTGTTTCTTGCTTTCTTTTGTCATCCCAGTTTAAAATTATTCCATGGATAACATTTCTGGAACCTGCTTGATGCATTCCTGTCAGAAATCAGTGTACCTGAATATAACAAATATAACCCAGCCTAAGTGTAAGTGGTATCACTAGCAAACTAAAAATACAAGAATCTATATATCTATAGTTAAAATTATAATACACCTAACCTTTTCTGAACTAGGATCAATAGATTTCAACTTCTTGTCATTAGTAGAGTCGACAAACTGGTTGTTAATGAAAAGCTGTCGAGGGAATTCCAAATCCAAATTGTTGGTTTTTATCTTGACCTAGAAACAGATTATCATAATGAATAATATGAATAATAAAGTAGAAATCACATAAAATGATTTAAATGTTAATTTTAATAAAAATCTTTACTAGTGTTCCCAAGAAAAATATTGCAGTCACTTTCATAGTATCTTCTATTAGCATTTCAAGACACCCAAAAGGAATTTGTTACTTATAACCAAAATCAAAAATTCATATATATATATACCAAGATTTAAAACGTAAATTACACTTAAGTCATGTCTTAAAATGTTTCAAACAGAAGAAGTTATTCAAAAAATGTAATACAATATAAAAGAAGCAATGTATGTGAAGTTAAGAAAATTAATATTTTGGTAAAAGTAAAATAAAGCTTTAATTTATATCACTTTCCATTCAGACAGTAAAACTGAATAAATCTTTGAATTAACTCAAAATTTAATACACTAATTTATATCTAAAGATACAGCCAAATCTAACATTGACACAAATACTGAAACAGTAAACCTGAAAAAAACTTCTCAATAAACCCCAAATCTAATATAATGACACACATGTATGAAATATGAACCTCAAGTAACCCCTTAAACAATTAGCCCAAGCTTGATGTATTTAGTCATAAATTTGAACAGTGGTCCTGAATAACTTTCATAATAAGTCCAACAATGAGTTATAGACAAACAGTGGACCTCAACTAAACCTTTAAACCTATATATCAATTTATATATTAAAACAGACAGTGAACCAAACAAAAAAAAAAAGAAATCAAATACAACACATTGATTAGTAAATTAATTTAACAGACCTTAAAAAATCAAATAAATCAGCCAATTTTAAAATATTCATCCATACATATTCAAGCAATGGACTTCAAGAGATCTCAGAATTATTCGCCAAAAGCCTAACAAACGGTGGATCTTAACAGCTCTCAATAAGCCTAAATCTAACATACTGACTATTGGTGCACACCAAATAAACTGATTTCTGTATTTAAACAATAAACCAAAGAAACCAATAAACCTTTCAATTCCTAATTTCACCATTTACGCATTCCAAAAGTGAACATAAAAAAGCTATCTATAGTTAACCTTTTAAACTGATCTACTGGTTTATTTCTTCAAGAGTTTAAAACTCCAAAAACTCTTCCAATAAGCAATAATTTTGACTTTCTAGTTTGTGTATCCAAGCGCTGAATCATAATTGAACTTACTGGTACACATACTTAAGTTGCTTACCTGGTACCCATACCAATTCATCTTAAATATTGCTCTTTGATTCATGTATTAAAGTAGCAAACCTCCAAAAGTATGCCAGTAAAACTGAAAATAACATACTGAATCAAAATCAAGAAGAGGACCTGAAGAAACCCCACGACTCTTTAACACCACTATCTTGATAAATTCCTTGAAAACAGTAGACAAGTAGACATCTTCATTCTCAAGTTGTACATTGCATTTTTCTTTTAATTCTTCTACGAGCCTAAAGAAAGTGCATCAAAAATGTTAATTTGTATTTGGAAAAAATAAATTATATAAAAGTTTAAGAAAAATATTATGCAACTTCTTTTTCAAAATACTTGTGAAATGGGTTAAGAACTTGTGATTTTTGCTTTAATGACTAACCTGAATGTAAAAAAGAAAAAAAAAAGGTCTCTATTAGCATGAAACATTGTAACAGATACAATAAGGAAAAACAAAGTGGTTGCCTCAGTAGAACACTAAAAAATTTATCTAAGTAAAAAATGAATATAAAATTTTTGTACATAATTTGACCCAATTTAGTCACACCTATTAACATGTCAAGAGTAGATAACTGGTAGTCAATGCAATTCTTACTATCTTGTTCAAAGCCCATGAAACCCAAAATTGTCTAAGTGCACTATTTTTTCAAATTTTACAAGAAATTAATGGAAATCACCTTTATATTATAGATTGATAGATATATCAAAATCAGATTGATTCAACAGCTTCACTCCCCTTTACTTTCAAGATGTTCTTTTACTAATTTGGTTAAACTGGTTCTGAAACCAATAAATTATATTGATT